GCAATGAATGTACAAATGCGCTTTACACAATTGATGTGTGTATGGATTGTGATAAGAGTTGTATGAGCCCCTAACAAAATGATAAAATAAAAAGTATACAGTCTCCGAAACCCAAAGAAATAGTTCTACTCTGTTTTATAGAGTTGTTATGAGGCAGAATTGACTCGTGCCAATGGGCTTGGTTTTGGGGGTTACTTACCCAGCAGCCTTGACCAGAACTCAATCTGTGAGAACAGAGAAGGATGGATGTACATGCAGGTATATTAGGGGAGGCTTTTCCAGAATAGGTGGCCTCTTTCAACAGCGGAGCTCCAACCCTCCCCAAACCAGAATGAAGAAGAGGCATTCAATGCTTATGGGCCAGTATGAAGTTTAGGGGGGTGGGATGGGGGGAATAAACAAAGGAATCACATTTGTGATTCAGATCAAACATATTGTTGAACCAAGTAAAGCTTGAGGTGTAAGTGTGCCATTCTCAGTTTTTAGAACATTATTTCTAGCAGCAAGGACTGGAAAGTAGATTGAAGTGGGTGAGCTGGTGGTAAGAAAACCAGTCATGGGGACTCTGGTTTGGCCCTCTTTTCCATACTGGGTACTTGGCCTGGATGCCCAGAAAGTCTTCCTACCTTGTCATTAAAGATTTGTAATTTTATAGTTCTAGCTAGAAGCCAGGTTCCTCTAAAGGACCAGTGGAAATAAGATTAGATTCAGTATATTTTTGTAGGAGGGAAAAGGAATCAAGCTTTCTGGTGAAGTGATTTTTTTTTCTCCCCAAGGAGTCCCCAAATCACTACACATATGGTAAAATTTTAATAGTTCCCTTTTATCATAAAATGTTACTGATCTTAAACCTTCTTGTGGTGCAGATATAAACGAATGTGCATTAGATCCTGATATTTGCCCAAACGGAAGTTGTGAAAATCTTCGTGGGACCTACAAATGCATATGCAATTCAGGATATGAAGTGGACGCAACTGGGAAAACTTGTGTTGGTAAGACATTCCATTTCTTCTTAGGGCGGGTCATGCACTGGGGGGAGTGGTGCTCCCCCCCCACCCCAGATATTTGAAATGAACTGGTACGTCACGGAAAACTCCAAGTCCACTTCAATTTTCAGTAAGAAAGTGGCTCTTGCGTAGCTTAAATGACTGAGGAGATGGGGTGCTTTACATTTTGGGCACCATCGGCATGGCAACATACATGTCTTGATTAGATAACAGTCGTGTCATGGAATTCTGATAATTTATGGGTGATCGCCTATCAGATTCTCTAGCAAAAGAGAAGCACTCTCCTTACACACATCCAATCCCGTCTCTGAGCCATCCCTGCTACAGTTCTTCTAGATCCACTACAATGACCTTCAATGGAAATTAACCTTTTTTTTAATACTTTCCTTTCCATTTTTTTTCATAGCTCCTCCTCCCACAAATTCTGTATTTGTCTTGCTACTCTAAGAGCTGTGTTAGGAGACTTTGGGCAGCTTTTTCTAGCTAAGATGATAACGTCTCCATTCCACGGCTCTCTAAGTGGACAAGGGAGGACTGGAGGATGGATTCTGGAGCTAGCATGAGGAGGAAAGCTGGCTCTCGACTTTCTAAAACGAGCCCCAAGTTGCTTTGTTCCCGCTGGCTCTGTGTCCCTCTCTGACTGACTCCTCTGGGGCTCCTGCTTCCAAACCCTGAGGCATTCTGCAGAACTCGCGCAATCCCTGTCCCCATGTTCACGGTCTTCATCTGTTGAGCTGCTTAAAAGGTGGAACGTGGCACGAGTAGCCCCACCCAGACCCTGTACAGTGCTCTAAGTTATTCATCTCAAAACACAGCACCACAAGCGGGCCAGAACTTAATAGATTCCTTGCTTGTTAGGGCTGATGATAACAGACAGTTGGGACAGAGACCGGAGGTTTCAGTTATTTTGGAAAAAGTCGAACTCTAACTTTGAATTTTATTTTGATCTGCTTTCCTTTGTGATAGGTAGCATTTGCAAGGACATAAAAACAACTAGCAATCAACCAGAGCATCGGCTCTGTCCTCACTTCAGTCAGCTTTCACCTACCCTCATTGCAGGCTAAGCCTGGAAATGGAGGCTGGAGTCAGGTCAATCGGACCACAGCATTATCAGAAAGGCATCTTCTGGATGCACGTTTCTCTCTCTCTCTCCTTCTCTCTTTGTTGCTGACCCAACTCTGGCCTTCCTCTTTTTTGGTCAACACTAACTTTTGAGAAATGAATTCTTTCTCTCTCGTACCCTTCGTTTTAGGGCCCCTTATAGAAGACAGCTTTTATTTGAAAACGCATGGTACTTTCAAACTAGACTCAACTGAAGCAGATTTCACCATTGACTTTTATTCTAGAAACGCCTCTATTTACTGGCAGACAAGAAAAATCCAGATTTATTTGGGCAGCGCAGAAAGATGCAGGGAGATTTTAGTGTCATCCAAAAATCACTCTGTGGGACGTGGAAAGGAGAGGTTGGGGAGCTGTTGGGACTGTGCCTCCAGGGTTTTTAGTAAATATGCTAGTGTTGAAGCCTCTTCGTGTGGTAGGGGCACCGGCCTGTGAATCATAGCCCCAGCCCAGCTGCGGCCCACACAAGAGTCCAGTCACTAGCAAGCTTTGAAAAGAAAACTCATTCTTAGACTCAGTTCCTCTGTTGAGTTTCCGGATTCTTCTGATGTCATCAACATTTTTAAGAATTAGAATATTGACCGTTTCGGGGAGTATAAGCATTCCTTACATCCATTTGATAAAATTCTCAGCATACTACTTGCTCGAACAAGGATATACAGTAAGATAGTGGAAAGGTAGAACCCGCGAAGGGGAAACCCTGTCATGGAGGGAGAACTCCTCCTTTTACGAATAGAAGGCAATAGAAAAGAGCTTAGACTGCACGCTGTCAGGGGCAGAACTCTGGTGAGACCTGGGAAGGTAAGGCAGCTCCATGGACTACTCTTCCCTGTGACTATTATACTGGGTTGCCTATGTTTTAAGCATCTTCAGAAGCTGTTTGCTGATTTAGGTGTCGTCTTGCTGTGAACACCTGCAGCCACCCTGCTGGATGTGGACACCCTTCCTGCTTGGGTATTTTGACTTGTCAAGTGGTGATCTAATCAGAATCTCTAAAGGAGTACAAGATTTCTTAGGACTGCATTTTGGGGGTAGTGGGAGATCATTGGGTCCAGAGTAAGATAACAAACCCTATCATTTCCACATTTTTGAAAAGATCTCAATAATACGGATCAAAAAGGTAGGCTTTGATTCAGGCAGGCATGTCGTTAAGCTCAAACTCAAGCACGTTTTCTCAGATCTCTGAATCACGAAAATTCCCCAACTTGACCGGACAATCGCAAACTCTTCAGATTGCTTCATAAAAGCAATCAGGAGGATCTAAGTTATCCTCAGGCAGAAACACCCATCTTAGAATTAATGTACATCGAAGATCCACCATGCTTTCTAAATATTCATTCGGTCCCTTAAATCAGTAGATTTCGTCCTTTTAAATCTGGAACAATGAAACAATTCTATAAAGGCCCATGACTTCCAGCAAGCCCAGGTTTCCTTCCTGCACAGAAAGAGGAGAATGGATTGGCCTCTGGTGACTTGGGGTTTGCTGACAATGGCTTCGAGAACCAGCTCAAGGCCCATGCTGCTAGCATCAGGTGGTTACATAAAGACCAATTGCGTGGGAGTTGTTGTTTCTGTGTGTTTCTTGAATTAATCAAGTCATTAGAGCCTTAAAGACATCGCTTAAACGAATGAAGCCATTGCAGGCAAAGAACGGGCTCCTTTAAAAGTTCATTTCCATTTGCTTTGCAGATATTAATGAGTGTGCACTCAACAGCCTGCTTTGCGACAATGGGCAGTGTAGAAACACTCCTGGAAGTTTCGTCTGTACCTGCCCCAAAGGATTTGTCTACAAACCTGAGCTAAAAACCTGTGAAGGTAAAAATAGATGTTTGTCTTTAGATGTGCCTCGCCAACTTTCAGGATTCCATTTGGAAACTAGAAAGAGAAACAAGAGTAGTAGCGATTTTAAACAACCCTGCCACTTCAGTTAAAATTTGGTGGTCTTAAGTTGCACTTTGAGGCACTTAAAAAAACCACTTCTAATGTTTATTTGCTATTGGCATGTGTTTTTTTGTTTTGTTTTTGTTATTTTTGCATTTGTTTTGCACTTAAATGCCATTTTAAAAAGTTTATTTTGCGTTTGTCTGAAATTGGCATTTTATTTGCCATGATTTAAGAGCTGGATAAAATATGCATATGCTATTTCAGTTCATAACTCAGAAGTCACGTGTAGGTGTGCTCTGGGTTTTCTGAATAAAAAGATTCAGTCAAGTGCCAGATTCTACATTATAGAGAAGTATTCAATTACTATTTTGGGCATTTCAACAAGTCTAGACAAGAAAAAAAAAAAACGTAAAAAAATGGGGCCAGCTTTCCTATGTAATAAAGGCTTTGCGGTAGCATTGGAGGCTAAAGTGTAAGGATTCATTCTTGCCCAACACTCGCTGTTAGTAGTAATGTGGACCTGTTTTCATTTCAGACATCGATGAGTGCGAGTCGAGCCCTTGCATTAATGGAGTCTGCAAGAACACCCTGGGTTCCTTCATTTGTGAATGTTCTTCTGAAAGTACCCTGGATCCAACAAAAACCATCTGCATAGGTTTTTACTTATCTTTCTGAGAATGTGCTTCATTTGTTTATAGGTGCTTGCTGTGTTTAATACCAGCACGCACAACCAAAGAGTTTCTAAGTATGAATGAAAGTGTGAACGAACGGGTCACTAGTTCTTGTCTTGTGAGGCTGGTCTTGCTGTCATCACGGGGTACATGTTTGGTTGAATTTTTGGTGTCGGTTTTATTAACTCTTGATGAAATATCATACCCTCTCTCTGCAGAAACCATCAAAGGCACTTGCTGGCAGACCGTGATTGACGGACGATGCGAGGTCAACATCAATGGAGCCACCTTAAAGTCCCAGTGCTGTTCTTCTCTCGGTGCTGCCTGGGGGAGCCCGTGCACCCTATGCCAACTTGGTAAGAGGAATGAGTGTGAGCCTAGCTCCACCTCTCTTCACCCCATTGGTGCTTGCCGGGGAGAGGGGATGTGGGAGCCCTGTTCATTAGGGTTTGCAAGGTCATTTTTTAAAATGTTCTGAAGCCTTTAGGGAGACCTACAGTTGAATAGAAAACAAGGTGTGAAATAGAATGATTTGATGAGATTTGCAATATTTGTTATTTTCCATCCCCACATGATAACACTCTTTAGTTGGTGTTGGTTTTTTGGAATAATCATGCCGAGTGGTCCATTAGGGAACCTCATCGTTACGGGTCTTGAACTTTTAATAGGAGCCAAATTTCTTCCAAAATTTCTTTAGAAAAAGAAAGTAATGGAAAGAAGCCATTGTTCGTGCTTGAACTTCACAAAGAGTATCTGTAGGGGTGAGAGCTCCTAGTCCCCCCACTCAGCCTCCCGTGAACCTAGGGAGGGTCTCCTACCTGATGGCTAACAGCGAGAAAGAAATCCCAGCCATCACCTCACCCTGAGGTTCACGACGATGTCTGAGATATGTCAGAGGAACTAAGCTTGATTCAAGGAGAAGTGTTTTTCTTAGTCTTGGTATTGTTTCTCACTTATACAATCTCAGAAACATTTGCTATCTGGGACTTTTCATAACAATGAACTCTAGATCACGTTTCACGTGTGTGTCTGAGACGAGATCATAATTGCAAAGTCTGGATACTGTTATTTTATATTTGCATGTGGTTTTTTACAATTTTGTCTTTGTACAGATCCCATATGTGGCAAAGGGTTTTCCAGAATTAAAGGAACACAGTGTGAAGGTATTTCTGATTATAAGCCATACATTTCTGTGTGCCTGAAGAATGCTTATGTTGACGTGGATGGGCTAAGGCTGTCGTGTAACTTTGTGGTGAGAAATATGCATTAGAGACAAACAATTATGAGAGCCGGAGAGCAGAACAGATGTGAATTTCACCAGCGTATATATGTTATTGCCAGTAGCTTATGACGGCCAAAGGACGGGGTGGGTGAAAATGTTCTAGGCTGACTATGAAATGGTGTAACTGCACTTTCAAAATACCACCTGTCAGGAAAAGAAGGGTGTTTTCAATGAAGCTCTAAAATTTGCATATTTTTTTGTTTCGTCTTCTCCTGCTCCTCCCCCCCTCCTCCTCTTCCTCCTCTTCTCCTCCTCCTTCTCTTCCTCTTTCTCCTCCTCCTCCTCTTCCTCCCCTCCTCTTCCTCCTCCTCCTCCTACTTCTTCTTCATGTTTTATGGCCATGGACGTTCCAGAAGGACACCGTCTCTATGGCCTCTTAGTTGACCGTGAGTTTACTGTGAATCTTTCTCACGGACTCCCAGATAGACGTAGGTCATTGTGACTAACACAACCTGACATGACACAGCAGCTGAAAAAATTTTAAAACAGCAATTAGTCCCATATGTGGGAGGAAATGAACTTCTTTTTTCTTCTCTGCTAAAAGAAAGAGAAACGTCACAACCCCCACCCAGGTCTTGCTTTCCAAATGATGACTAAATCCTTTGGCCTTCTCTGGTCCAGGCCCACTGCTAATAACGAGTAACTTATCTGACCTCGGCAGCACATTTTCGTAGTCAGATGGCCAGGCCCAAAAGACCCCCAAAGGTGGCCAACTCTCACCTCCTCCGTGGGTTCCTTGTCTATGTGGAAAGATTTTGGCTGTGGTTTCCGACATTGCTAACTTGGGACGTTTTTATCTTCTCAATAGAGATGCTGAGCGAGTGAGCTCCTTAACTAGTGCTCTCCACTTTTGGCATTGATCAGGATGTGCCTTCCTGTGCACTAGCTTGATGGTGGCTATGACGCCAGTTGCAGTGCAGGCAATATCCTGCTCGCCATTCCGTGAATGGAAGGCCCTGGTACACTGAGCGAGATGGGGTGAATGGTGAATGATTGAGAATGGCCATCGCTCTCATGACCAGTTCCCGTGGAATTGACCATGACTCGTGGCAATCCCATGTATGTCTGAATAGAACATCGGGTTCTCCGTGGCTGGGTTTTCAGAAGCAGATTGCTTTCAAAGACTCCTGGGGGCAGACTCAAACCATTAACCTTTTGGCTAGCAACGAAGTGCTTTAATCATTTGTACCACCCAGGAACTTGCCGCTCGAACTAGTTCTATATGAGGGGACTTCAAAAAGTTTGCGTGAAAACTCCATTCTCTTTTAATTCCACTTTTGAGTAAACTTTTGGAGATTGGCATTCTCATACTTTTCTGTGGACTTGTTCGCATTCCCCAGAGATACTCTTTGGCTACACCCTCATGTTCCTCACTGAGAGCTATTCTGCCACATCTTCTTTGCTAGTTTGAAAGACCTGGTTTCTGTTGCTCTGCTTACGTTCTGACAATCTGGTCTCACAAAGCTAAGTATACGGCCCCTGGTAACTTCAGCTGAGATGACCGCAGTTCGCAGAGCTGCCCCCAAGAATTCCCACCAACTTTCTGTTCCTACAACTCCTTAGGTTCAAAATGACCTTTGCTATATTTAGAACAATTATGATTCCCTCGATACAATACAGCAGAGAGGGACTATACAGCTAGTTTAACAAAGCACGTTTCTCCCCATAGATATAAATGAGTGTGAAGTCTTCCCAGGAGTGTGCAAAAACGGCCAGTGTGTGAACAGCCAGGGGTCCTTTAAGTGCCAGTGCCCCAGCGGGATGACGTTGGATGCCACCGGGAGGATCTGCCTAGGTAAGTGCTGGGCTCACTTTTCACCTCGTTGTTTCCTGAAAGGTTCCTTTAAACGCGCCAGCAACTAGATAGAGCGGAACATTTCCTTTCCAGGCCAGAGCGACGCCCCCAGGTGTAGCATTCCCTTTAGGATCCATGGTGGTTTCATTGACAAACAGTGTTTTAGACTCATTTGTTCTTTATAAAAAGAGTCGAATCGATGTCACTGAAGAGCCATGTGGTCATTTTTCGTGTTTACTGACCCTGTCCATCAAAATCACGATGTCTTTCCTACAAGGGCTCTGAGGGTTCCCTTAGTACACTGTGACTGTGGGATATGGGGCGGGTAGTACGGATAGGAACAACACTGAGCTCAATTGGAAACTATCCTTCATGCCTGCTAGGACTATCCTTACCTTGTGGGTGTCAGTCGTGAAGATTCCATAACCCTGAAGAGTAGGGCCCCAGGTTGTGGCAACGACTAGTTATGGCTGGAATCCAACTGTTGGAGCCTAAGTGACCGTGAAGTAGGAGGGTCCTTAGAACCGTAAGTCCTTAGAGAGCTTCCCTGTGTGTTTATAGTGGCAGCACATTTGATATCTCACAGCCGTGCTTGCGGGCTCTGGCAGACTCATTCTGCCGTAATGTCTGACGGTTTGCATCACTGTTCTCAGGCCGCGCTCAGCTGTACTGCACGTCTGAAGCCCATGATGCTGCACAGCATCCTTAGTTGAAGAACAAGCAGTGGTTAAAAGAGCGGTGTGTGGCTTAAGGAATTTGGATCACTTACACGTTAGAACTAACAGAGCTCTCTAATATACAAGTGGATGGCTATAGTGTAAGCACTGTGAAAGAGAAAAGCTGAGTTCAAAGCCGAGGGTCTTGTTCTAAGTAGTAGGTCGGCCAGTCCCACTGTGAGTCTGAGTTTCTTTGTCTCGGAGGCGGTGCAATTTACTGGAATCTAGGTTCTTTGGTTGATAGATGGCTCAGTGCTTCACTGGCCATTCATTTTTAAATGATCCACCTTAAGTTGGCATCTAAACATGTGTTGTCCAGAAGGCTTGAGAAGTTCTGTAAGGTTAGAGGAAGCTCAGGCTCTCCAGGGACCACATGATGAAAGGGGAAAAACAAGGAAGAGAATGCTTTACGTGTTTTATGTCCTTTATCATTTTCAAATGAATAATCTCATCTGGGCTGTGTTGAGCTCCCCGAGCGATGGGCGCGACGCCTTGTATCAGCTGTGAAACGTCAGACATTTCTGTTCACGGTTTGCTTAACCCCGCAAATTTAGTCACAGAGCAGGACTGAAATCCGGGTTCTGACCCCTGGTGTGTTAGTATGGCTACTCTTCCTCACAGTCCCGTGAACTGGGGGTTTGTGGCTGGGTGGGTCCCACGTGAAGGTCATGCACATAAGCATATTATGTACGGGGAGAAGAACACTCGAGGGGAGTGGCGGGTGGCCTTTCTTGGCTGTTTTTCTTCCGTAACTAATCAGAAGTAGGGCAGTCTTCCTGTCTGAAGTCATCCTGTCAACTCTCCAGAGGAGAAGTGGACTGAGGAACAGGTGGTTGAGTTAGCAAAGATCCGTGGTTTTTCTAGGGCAGGGGCCGGAGTGGGGGGTTAGGGGTGGGGGTGCCAAGACATCACAGAATATGTGTATATGTCCTAGGCATGTCCGTACAAAGACAAAGCCTCTCCCTCCAGAGCCTCCTGGGATCTCAATGTATCTCCTTTCAGAGAATGATCAAACACTGAAAAGGACCTCTCCATGAGTCTGAGATAGAAATATGGGTGAACAAAGTGAATTACCTAAGCTGAACTCCCTGCTACGGGGAGTTATAGGATGGGGTAGAACTGCCTCTTTGAGTCTCTGAGCCTGTCCCTATTTATAGGGGTACAGAGCCCTGTCTTTCTCCCATGGAGTGCCTGGTGACTTTGAACTGTTGACCTTGTGGTTCACAGCTCAACTAGTAGTCACTATGCCACCAGGGCTTCAAGAGAGTCTTTTTCAGTCAGGAAGAGGCACCACACTGCCTAGATTCCTTTTGAGGAGAAAAACATCGCTCTAGTCAATACGAATCTAACAGATTATGACGGGCATCGCGCTACACTTTACAAAGCCATGACAATTTGGGACCCTAAAAACAGAGTAGCTCTCCTCAACCCCTCTCTATTCCACCCACAGACATCCGCCTGGAAACGTGCTTCCTGAGGTACGATGACGAGGAGTGTACCTTGCCCATTGCTGGCCGCCACCGCATGGACGCCTGCTGCTGCTCAGTTGGGGGAGCTTGGGGCACCGAGGAATGCGAGGAGTGTCCGATGAGGAGTACACCGGAGTATGAGGAGCTCTGTCCCAGGGGACCTGGATTTGCCACGAAAGACATCACCAATGGAAAACCGTTCTTCAAAGGTACGCTGTGCCTAGTGGCTGATTGCTGTGCTCGGGAGGCCAGCAGGATGCCTGTTCGTGAGCCCCGAGTTCTGCTCGAGAAGACTTCCGATAAAAAGCACCCATGTGGCCCTCGGTGGATGAGCTCAGCATGCATGTCTTGCTTTGTCAGCTGTTTGGAGCAGCATGCTCACTCTGTACTGGGCTCTTGTTCCCGCCGCCCAGGCCCTCCCGAGGCCACTTGCCTCGCCCACTTAGCCATTGCCGAGTGTTAAACCAGATTTGAATGTTGTTGTAAGCTGTCAGTGAAGGAGAAAATCCGCTTGGGGGCATTTTCACGCCATCGACTGAGGCTGGGCAATCAGGCCTTTTAGTGCTGATTTGAAGCAGCCACATCACTGCCTTTTACCATGAGTGGAGGGTTTTGTTTTCCCAGTTAGCCTCCGTCGATTTTGACTCCTGGCGACTCTGTGTGTATTCGAGGAGAGCCATGTTCACTCGTGTTTCCAATGGCTGACTTTTTCAGAAGTAAATCACTGGGCCCTTCCCCCCCACCCTAAGTCCCCTTGGGGTGCACTCCAACCTCCAGCCTTTCGGTTAGCGTCCAAGTGCGTTAGCGATTTGTACCACCCAGGGCTGGGTCATGGAGGGAGGGTACACGACAATGAGAAGCCCAACTGGGTTTGGTTCCTGGCCCGTGTATCTCTATCTGGAGCACGCCACCACCCAGCTGTTCCTGAAGGCTTGCATGTTATTAAGGTGCTGCAAGTTTAACCGGAGCCTCAAGACTAAGATGGACTAGGAGAAAAGATCTGGAGGTCTTGCATCTGAGCATCAGCCAGGGAGCACCCTGTGTCTCATATTGGCTACATCCCATTGCGCTTGGGGGTCACCATGAGCCTATTGCAGTCAACAGCAACAGCGAGTATCAGACGGAGGACGAAGACCCAGACGTTGCTACAAACATGCCCTTTGCTTCTCTAAAGGAGCTGTGGTAGTGCAGTGGGGAAAGCTTTGGGCTGGTAGCTGACAGGTTGGTGGTTTGGGCCTACCAGCCACTTCAGAGGAGACAGAGGAGACCATCTGCCTCTGTTAAGACTTACGGCCTTGGCCTCAGAACCACTGTGGCACCGTCCTACCCTGTCCTATGGAGTCCCTATGACTCAGAAGCAACTCAGGGCAATGAGCTGTTTCTCTAACAGTGCGTTCTCAAATGGCATTGCAAGGGCTCAGCGTCTTTAGAACATCTTCATTCTTGTGGATCATCACAAGATGACGGTTCCAAACGATTATTTCCAAGTCTTTCCAGTCGACTTGTGAAGTGTGACGTCTCAGAGACTGGAAGACCAGCAGCCGTCGGGATGTGGAGGAGAGGGCGCTTGGATCTCCCGCGCGGCTGCTCACGGACTTCTGCTCTTTTCTTTTCCTTGAAGATATCAACGAGTGCAAGATGATCCCGAGCCTCTGCACCCACGGCAAGTGCAGAAACACCATCGGCAGCTTCAAGTGCAGGTGTGACAGTGGCTTTGCCCTTGATTCCGAGGAGCGGAACTGCACAGGTGCGTGAGCAACTCTCCCCTGGGGGTGGGGCTTGCCGTTGACCTTTCTTTGGGTCACTCGCCTGGCGCCCTTTGTTGTCTTTACTCAGACATCGATGAGTGCCGCATCTCTCCCGACCTCTGTGGGAGAGGCCAGTGCGTCAACACGCCCGGGGACTTTGAGTGCAGGTGTGACGAGGGCTATGAAAGCGGCTTCATGATGATGAAGAACTGCATGGGTAAGTCCGGGACCATCGGGAAGAAAGGATTGCAAACAGCCGTCATGGCGTGTAGCGTACGTCATGGCGTGTAGCGTACGGTTCAGGTACTTCCTCCTCCCTCAGGGTCCTGGACTCATGTCCAGGGAGCCAAGAATTGGGGGGAGCGCTCAGGGCGGACTGAGAGGCCGCACCGGATGAGGCATTTCGTGGTGGGGGTTGTGGGTAGCTTTGGAGGTCAGTGATGTGTCCTTGAGACATGCGTTTGACTCCTGGGCTAAACACCCCGGGGAAGAGAACTCTTCCAATGGAAGCTGCATTGGACATCACATCGCTGGGGTTTCACCCAACATCTCTAGAAAATGAGATGGACGAAGACGTTGTCTCAAGTCAGATTTTCTGGGAAAAGCCTATGTTGAGACTTCTTTCAAAAGTGTTCTTTTTCTGTTTGGGAGCGAGAGAGTGCTCTTAAGGGGACCAATAAGGGAATGAGGGAAGCAGAATTGGGGTGGGGTGGGAGCTGGGGAAGAAGATAAGCTCAGCGTTCCACTGCATTTTCGGTGTAGCCTGACCCTTCTCATAGCTCTGGAGTGTGAAGGTCAGCAGAGCTACCCCACCTTGAGGCAAGGGGGCCGAGATGTGATGCTCCCGTGTCAGTTCTGCCCGTGTCGGGCCCCGCCTCACCTCTGCATGGGAGACAGAGAGTCTATCTCCCCTACCTGGGCATTTTTGGGTGAAGTGAACAGCGTTTCTTCAAAAAGGGAGCGACCGTCATGCAGGACGCAGAGCAAGTGGGGCATGGGTGCCATGGCCTAGCGAAGGGGATCTGGGCCGGAGGCGCCCAGCAGCCAGAACCCAGTGAATGTCCGTGTTGCAGATATCGACGAGTGCCAGAGAGACCCTCTCCTGTGCCGGGGCGGTGTTTGCCTAAACACGGATGGAAGTTACCGCTGTGATTGCCCTCCGGGTCACCAGCTGTCTCCCAACATCTCAGCGTGCATAGGTAAGGAGGGGGATTTGTAAACCACTGATTTGTGGAAGTCATTTACTCCCCACCCAACCCCCTGAATTCTGGTCAGAGTCAGAAGCTGAGCTAGTTAAAGTTTATTGTGCCAACCTGGCCAATAAACACATGTGGGGTTAATTGAAGGGCGGAGCGATAAATGGCTCAGTGAGACTCACCTTTAGAGTTCTCGGGTCTCTTGCTTTCTGATGGTGGCACCAGGGTGCAGCTGCCTTAGCCAGTTCCCTGCTTTAGCTGGCAAGGCTCAATTTCTGCAAGACATCCC